CTACTTTGCACTCGATCCTGAAGAGGACGCTCACTGAAAGGAAAGGAAAGTCCAAAGTGAAGCCTGGAGCAAGTGAAAATGTGGATTTCAAACGAACCCTTCAGTGTGACAACAGCTTAAGCCACCTGATATCTGGATGTGTTCTCACCTCTGCTTCCCTCTCAGCCCTGGCGAGGGTCAGACGGATTTATAAAGGTGGAGAAAAAAGGATTCACGCGGTCCGATTTCGAGCAGTCCCTCCAACAAACAAACACTCGGTCCTCGTTCATTTCCCTCCCTCCACCCTCCCTCTCTATCTTTCAGGGCAGAGATAGGACACAGAGCAACTTGTGTGTGAGCCGAACAGGAAGAGAGCACACAAACAGAGGCCTCCTCCGGCCACTAATTAGCAGGTCGGATGCAGCTCCCGTCCAACTGCAGATTAAACCTTTTGGTGTGTGTGTGTGTGTGTGTGTGTGTGTGTGTGTGTGTGTGTGTGTGTGTGTGTGTGTGTGTGTGTGTGTGTGTGTGTGTGTGTGTTAAGGCAGTGTGGTGTGCCTACACCGTGTGTGATCATGTGATACTTTGTGTGCGTGTCTCTCTGTGCATAATTGAGTTTTCTTTAATTATATACAGTGAACAGGTTTGATAAATGAATAGTAGATGTGTGTTTGCTTCTATCTTTCGGTGTCCGTCTTTTTAACCCTTACTGATGCAGCCACAGCCTCACACTTTACACTGTACTAGGGTCATAGGGCATCAGATATGAATAGAGGCTATAATTTGCTGGCATTTCCTCATGGAGGCTATTTGATTAGAGAGAGAGAAAGGGAGGGGTGGGCGCCAGAGAGGACAATGGAGCCTCTGAGGCCCTGAGTGAGGGGAGAGAGAGGTGAGTCATGAGAGGACAGCTCTGACCGGAGACACTGACCAGAACCTAGAGACCGAACGTGAAGAAATATTGCAGCATCTGAGAAACTGAAGGGAGGCAAACGATAGTTCATTTCTTGACTTAAACTTAACACAAGCCTATACACAGGCTTACTTTCTGACAGTGAGAAGAGCAGCCTATGTTAGCGTGAAAACTAGCAGCAGCAGTGATAAGAGCTAAATGCTGACACAGGTATCATGTCTACCATGCTAATATCTAAGTTTAGCACATTAGCATGCTAAACAAAAAGTCAAGTCTAAAGGAAATATCGTTAGTTTTGCAGCATTGTCTTGACAATGAAGAATTACGATTGAACTCCTCCTTAGCTTTGGCTTTGTTTGAATTATTCTGTTTGAAAGAGATTGGTTGGTTTTTTTATTTATAGAAACACGATATAATAATACAGTAATTCTTTATAATTCTTCAGTGCAAATAAATTGTCCATCAGCAATGACAAGTATTTAAGACAAGAACCAAAGAAACAGACCTCTACCATAACATGTAGTATGTGATGTCGAGCACAATTCAAAAATGGAGAGTTTAAAGCTCTATAGAAAGGAGGAGGAATACAGTGTTGAAAAGGATGAGATAGGAGAGAAATATAGAGAGCAATTGTTGATCTTCTTGAGAAGGGGGGGGGGGTGGAGGCACAGAGCGAGGTGCAGGTAGGTCACAGCAGTGAGCAGGGATTGCCTCCCAGAATTGGATTTCCCTCCACGGCTGACTAACCCCAGAGAAATCAGCAAACTGAGCCACCCACGGGACGCCGACAGTCTCCTCAGAAAATAACAGCCTTCACATTCCCCCGGATGGCAGCCGCACTGAGGTAGGCTCAAACTGTGGCTTCCCCTGGCTCCACGCTCAATCCCACAGACACGGCTGCCAGCCAATCCTACAGGCCGCTGACAGAGCCACCGCTGGGTGAACCTGCTTTCACTGAGTGTGACTGCAAGCCTGACAACTCCGGAGGAACTTTCAGGCGTGTGAACAGTTTGATATTGTACATGTACAACAACAAAAAAGGCCTTATGAATAAATAGTGACAAATAGAATAGTAGCTGAGAGTTGCTAATGCGCTACAACGGCCCAAAACACTTCCATTAGCAGAAATGTGCTGCAGCATCAGAACCGATGCAAATATAAATGTGACAAATCACATGCAAATGAAGAAACATCTTCACCACCTCGATGAAGCATTCACAAAGAACGTTGCAAATAACATGACTTTGTACTGTCCCGGTTACCGTTGTGTTTTGAGCGCCTTGCTGCATTGTTCTTATTTGCAGCATTTAGTTTGTACAGCGCTTTTTGGAAATGCATGTTTCTTCATTTGAAGGTTTTTTAGGCACATTTGTGTTTTTATATTTGCACGGTTTCTGAAGCTGCAGTGCGTTTCCCCTCGTCTGGAAGATTGCAGTTCGAACCGGACAAAGTGACTTTTTTGCAAAAGGTGTAGGAATCACAAAACCATGTGAAGCTCACACTGTGGCTAAGCCGTCAACAGTATGAGACCAATGTCAAAATGCATTCATCAGTCATCTCTGGATAGTAGGGCTGCACGATTTTGGGAAAAAAATCTAATTGCGATTTTTCTGACAGATATTGCGATTCGAATTGCGATATTTGTTTTTAAGCGACCCAACGGAAGTTTATTGTAAAATGCGGCCATAACTCCGGCTAGGAAGGTCGTATCAACGTGCTCCCGTCTCTAGCACCCCCGCAGCCCGAGCTACGAGTGAAAGAACTAAACTTACATGACACTTCTGTTGGGTTGCTTTAAATTCAAGCTTCAGTTTAAGATTCACCCTGTAATAGAAACATGTGATGGAGCATTACTAACCTGACTCAGATGGTTTGTTTCACCAAACCATCTAGGAAAGCTCCATTGGAAGCCATTTGGAAAAGGGCAGGCACTTTCAAAAATACCAGCCATTGGATCAATCTGTCTATCACCTTCTATCATGGGCCACTTCTGATTGATTAACAATGGCTGGTACATGTAGAGCACAGCACTTCTGATTGGTGTGGATGACTGACAGAAAAGAAGAAGAAAAATAAATAAATAAATTTTAAAAAAAGAAAATAAATTCACAGGCTTTGCGATTTGATAATTGCATCATTTCAAATCGCGATATCGTTTTAAAATCGATTAATCGTTCAGCCCTACTGGATAGTGATTTTTGAGCACATTTTAGGGATTATTTTCATATCTTTCCATCAATATAATTTATGAAGTCAACTAAAAAGACCAAATGGTTGTTTGCATGACTGGCCCTTGGATTCATTTCATGCATTAAAACACTCATCTGTGGAGGCGTATAGCGTAGTAGTGGATAGAGCGTTGGTGTTGGGATCAGGGGGGACACAGGTTCAAACCCCTCTGCAGTCAGCATGTCGTTGTGTCCCTGGGCAAGACACTTCACTCCAAATTGCTCCTGTGATTGCCCACAGTATTGAGTATGTAAGTCGCTTTGGATAAAAGCGTATAACAAGTGACATGTAATGTAATATGTTCCTTTGTGTACGCTGCAAATCACCCAGAATACCCCACTGACACTACAGGATGTTTACAACACAGATCTGTGTTTTATTTCTTTCCATAAAACTAAATAAAAGCCCTGCAATAAAGGGGCAATCTGTGACTTCTCTGACCTTGTTCTTTGTGTACCAGGAAGTATATTTAGTGGCGGCTCAGAGTGCTTACTATGAATCCCTATTTTTTACTTTTATGGGGATTATGCTTTTTATATGCCAATCATGACACAGGCAATTGGTTTAGAGGATGCTCACTGCTCCCCTCAGATTCTCAGCATCGTGGAGAAAATAAAGCCTTGCTTCAGTGCCAGCAGCACAGCAGGACAGATGTCCCGCTTTCTGAGTGTGTCAAGTCTCCCTAAGCATGTCTTTGTATTTTACAGGGGTTACTAGAATACAGGACTGTCTCAGAAAATTAGAATATTGTGATAAAGTTCTTTATTTTCTGTAATGCAATTAAAAAAACAAAAATGTCATACATTCTGGATTCATAACAAATCAACTGAAATATTGCAAGCCTTTTATTATTTTAATATTGCTGATTATGGCATACAGCTTAAGAAAACTCAAATATCCTATCTCTAAATATTAGAATATCATGAAAAAGTATACTAGTAGGGTGTTCAACGAATCACTTGAATCGTCTAATTAATCATGATATTCTAATATTTAGAGATAGGATATTTGAGTTTTCTTAAGCTGNGTGTGCCTTGGCAGTCTCAGTGTCCTTGAAGTAAACAGGAAGAGGGCGAAAAGATTGGAGAAAGGGACGTAAGAGCTCAAATAAAGAAGGACCACTCACAGGAAAGAGTGAACTCCTATAGCACCAACGTACACTGAGCAAGGCTTTTAAATGCCTCCAAAGAACCCTTTGAAGTATTTTGTTATTTTTGATTATTTATTTGGGGGGGGGATTCAGATTTTATGTCATGTGGTAGTGAAGTGTTGTGTAGCAATTTGAGAAGTAATTTGACATCTAATGTTCCACTTCCTTCTCCTCTTTCTGACCTTTCTTTCTTTACCATATCTGTCATTTTCTGTCATTAACTCAATTTGTCTCTTTTTAGTATTCGTTTATTTGACCCTGAGGGGAAAATAGGGTGCCAGCACATCACAAGGCATTTGTTTGTCACTGACAACAACATAGACACAGATCAAAAAGAACAGACATAACAAAAACAGATATCAATCGCTCAATCTAAAATCAAATGGACATGATGGAGATGATTCAAAGACACAAAGGCTTTATTATCATATGCACAGTAACTACAGTCTAATTATGGCAACGCAAATCTTAAGTCCCAGGCTCCTCCAGAAATGCAACGTAAATATATAGGAAATAAACAATAAAACAGATAAAAAAACAATCAAATTAATGCTAAACAGAAAAGAATAGAAATAAAAAAAGTGCAAGAGAATGTTGCAAGACCAAGTAATGCAGGTAAATGAAATATATGAACCACCCAAGACATCATCCGATTATTTGCATTAATGTTACATATATTCTAGTAACCCCTGTAAAATACAAAGACATGCTTAGGGAGACTTGACACACTCAGAAAGCGGGACATCTGTCTGTGCTGCTGGCACTGAAGCAAGGCTTTATTTTCTCCAGGATGCTGAGAATCTGAGGGGAGCAGTGAGCATCCTCTAAACCAATTGCCTGTGTCATGATTGGCATATAAAAAGCATAATCCCCATAAA